ATAGCTCTGGCACTTCTGTGCAAATTTTTGGACAGCTAGCTCAGTTTCTGCAGATGCTAGAGTGATTACAACAGACTGATGGACATGGCTAGATCGTCTTAGAATATTACACTGATCAAGAATATATATACTTCATATACTTCAGAAACGATTATTAAAAAAAAAAAACACACACACATACAACGATGGAGGGTGTAAAAATGAGTAAAAATATGCTGAAGCCAACAATTTTTTTGTCTTTTGCCAATGTATGACTAAAATACACCATTTACAGACTTGGGCTCAACGACTGAATTGAAGAACACCATATTGGCAATATAGTTCTAATGTATGAATTTTCGTTATTCCCACCGTATTCAACTAAGCTCGATGCTGACATTTTGAAGTTAAAATTTTCCTGTTTTCGGACGAGCTAGTTGAAGTCCTAAACTTATTATAGCATCGTAGGACTCGTGATTTTACTTCGATTGATGTATATCTTAAGAACATTTTTATACCAAAAAAATACCTATTTATTGGGTTTAACACAGCGTGATTTTAGTTTTTACGTGCTGAATCTACTGAGACCAGCCGTGTTCAAATCCGCCCAATAAGAAAGATTATCAAAAACACCGAGCTTATACTTTCTTATATCCGATAATTCCATATAAGAAAAAAAGCATATAAGAAAGAAATCTCCGTTTTTTTTTAGTAAATGTATCATAAAATATAGCGATACGTGAATAATTTTATCCAAAATAATTTCATTCAAAAGACAACGGTAAGAATTGCCGCAAGTAAATTCGCCTAATCTAAATCAGGACTAACTATTGAAAAGAAGAACACAAAAACTATAACTATCGGAACTGAATATATTGTTTTCCTATTTACCTTCTTCTATAACGAACTAATTTGCATGGTCCCTGCAGGTTCGCTACAACCGTGCTTTACTGTATTTAACTTCTAAAAATATTCTTTACTAAGTCCATGATTGTGTATTGTCTAAAAAAACATCATTTTAATAAGTGAATCCACGCCTATGTAGGGTCTAAAAAACCATCCTTTTAATAAGTGAATCCACGCCTGTGTAGGGTCTAAAAAATATTCCTTAATAAAGTCACGTCTGTTTAGGGCTTAAAAATATTCTTTAATAAGCCCACGCCTACTAAATACCCTAGAATCATTTTCCTTATTAGAGGTCTTAAAATGACTTTTCTTTATAAATTCACTCTAATTATAGGCAATAGAAAACGGTTCCCTTATTAAGTCTTAGAAACATATTCCTTAAAAAATATTCCTTAAAATAAATATTCTGTGATAAGTCCATTCTTCATTCCTTCCTTAAAAATATTCCTTAAAATAATTATTCTGTGATAAGTCCATTCCTCATTCCTTCCTTAAAAATGCTCCTTAAAATAAATATTCTGTGATAAGTCCACACCTTAGACCTTAGAATTGTTTTCTTTATAATGGCCATGTTTATTAGAGCATTTAGACAAAATTATCTTTTTAAATTCACTCATATTACAAGCATTATAAAAATTTTCTTTTATAAAGACATCAAAAACAAGTGAAAAAGCGATAAGTTCGGCCAGGGCGAACTTTGGATACCCTCCACCATAGATATACTGACAGGTACTTGAAATAAAAATATAGGGAACATATCAAAAAGTGTACCTATGCCGTCATTTCTACAAACCGATTATGGTTCTAAATATTGGTCCTAGATCCCATGTTTCTTTGGACCAAATTTGTTTCAAAAAATTTTGATTTCATCTAAACTTTGCCCATCTTATTATTTCTTCCAAAATTAGTTCAAGTTCGAACATGGAGAGTATCAGTCCACTCCTTCTTGTACCTCCCACACAGGGGCTAGACCTATGTCCTATTTTTTCGTATCTTCCGCAGATGAAATGATTACAACAGAGTCTTAGAACCAAACCCAAACACGGAACAAATCATAAATATTTTAATATAAAACCAGTAAGAAAGTTGTAAAGTCTGACGGAGCCGACTATATGATACCCTTCAACACTTTGGGTATATTCAACAGATGAATCCTAACAGACGTCGCATTTTTAAAGGACCAGTAAAATGAAATTGGATCCATAAACATGCCATTCTGCAATTTATTACGCTGTGCCAAATTACACTCCAAATTATTACAATTATTACTCCAAATTATTTTTGTTGAAAATCACAATGACAATGATAGGCAACAAGATGCACAAAAGGTAGTCATTTTGAAGTGTTTAAAACGTTAAACTTGTTTTAGAGTGTTTCAAATCATCCCTTAAATATTTTAATATTCAAATCCATAAGTTTTTGGAAATGGTCGAATAGACTTATAGACTGAAATAATTACTTCTGCTTACTTCAAAACACCATAAAGGTGAAGGGTATCACCACTTTGGGTATATTCAACAGTTGAATCCTAAAAGACGTCGCATTTTCGAAGGACCATTAACATGAAATTACAGCCATAAATATGTCATTCTGCAACCAAATTGTTCATTTGGTCAGATATAGAGTTGCTTCTTACAATGGAAAAATATGTAAATCAATTTAAAGCGAATATCAATTGGACACCAATTGAGGAGTTTGGCGCACCATTCACTTAAAATCGGACGAAAAAATATATAAAAACTTATATTGAAATCTAAACCGATTTCATTGATTTTCCCAGGTTAGGTTATACTAATTTCAGTATGCTCTGTGTATATCAGTCACCAGGGATGGTCCGTGTGACGAATTTTTAGGTTTTCGACTGTCAAAAAGGTGTAAACGTCGAAAACGTCATATACTTGTATAAAATGTAATAAATGTAGTAAACGTCATTTATATCAATATTATCAGCATATACAGTTATTTTGAAGAATATATATTATTTTTACATGTATCTGACTATTCCTTACTAGAACTAATAAAATTTTCTAAATTTTTTTGAGAAGAAAATTTTGAAATTTTATATGGATTAGAGTGAATCATGCGTAATTTCCAAATTGAATTAATGAAAATAGCTATTTTGTCAAAAACCCAATGGATTTGGGTAGGTTTCCGACGTTTCTGACGTATGTATTATAGGTCGGAAATGTATGTCATTTACGTCACAGTTTCTGACAGGCCATCTCTGTCAGTCACATTTTGAGTTATTGGTGCATCATTTACCTAAAATCGGAGAATATATATATATATATATATATATATGCACCGATTTTTCCAAATTTCAATAGGGTTCGGGCCAAACAAGTGACCTGTGCCAAATGCCATCCAATTCGGATCATAATGCAACCAGTATGTTTTCAATTTAACATGGGCAGACAGACGGGCGGACGGACATGCATAAATCGACTTAGAAAGTGATTCTATGCATATTCTCAAAAGGAACCAAATGTCTATCTTGCGTAGTCTTCGAAACTGGAATTCCAGAGTAATCGGAAGTGTTGAACTCAGCACAAGCGATATCTTTGTCAAAACATGTAATAGCTTCAGTAATTTTTACAGTCAAATAAAAAAAGACTGCTGTTAATTTAATTACATCCGTCAGTCTGTTGAAATCACGCCGGCAATATTTAATATCGAATTATGAAATATTGCACATACAATTTGGTATATTCGGGATAGGTCCCCTATAACGCTATCCCTCATTTATTCATTATTTTGAGAACGTTTTTAAGCGAATTATCTACAATTTGACATATATAAAAGTCCCGATCAATTTTAGGTATTAGGGATTATGGAAACAAAGTGTCATATTCCTCAAAATCAAAACATTATATTTTTGTCGTCCACTGTGAACATTTTGACACATGAGAAATTGACATCGTCACTGGCTGACACAGCTAAAAAAGAATAAAATAATAACAACAACAACAAAAAATTAGCACACGAAAAATTGCAACCGGCTAGCGACGACGACACCGAACACCATAAGAAATACAAAAATAAAAAACGAACAAAAAGTAAGCACACCATGTTTTGTTGGTATTGGTGGTATACGTGACTGCTGGCAAAGATTACAACTAACGGCTGATTTTACAGCTGTTGTCAGCTGGTTGTTTGAGCATTAATGACCGAGTTAAAAAGGCGATACAGATAACCCTATATTAATAAAAATTATTATAAATATTAAAGGAAAACTGTATTTTTGTAAATTAATTTTAAATCGAACTTTTGCCTGTGCACCTTATTCCATTTGCGTTTGATTATGGATAATAAATATCCTTTAAGTTCCAATAAATTTTATACTTTTTAGGATCTATAACATTCCCCATATAATTGTATGTACTTAAAATTGGATTTTGTATATACATAATACCACGTTTTTTAGGATTAACTGTATTCATGTGATTACAAGAGAACGCAGTGCTTCTCTCATTCATTTTTGCAATATTTTACAAATCAGCTGCGAAATGAAAAGAGGCATAAACTCAAATGCTTTGAGTGTTGTTAACTCCTCTCCTTGTTATATACTCTCAATCGCATAACTGCTGAAACCACAATGAGTAACCACTCATTTATGTTGGAATTCATCACAGTTAGTAACAATAGAACACATAATGAAGAAACAATTACCAAACTGAAGTTGGTTTCTTGAGTTATTCACTCTTTAACTCATTGGAAAATGTACCCATCTCTCTCTCATTTCACATTTCCACTCTTTCGAGAGTGTTTTTATTTTTTGAGTAAACTCCATAACTTTTGAGTTCATATTTAAGGAAAAAAGTTTCTTCATAGAATTTGTTCGTTTTATTACGAAATCAGCTGTTTCCGTCTCCGGGTGAATTTATTTGCCAGCTGATACCCAGTGCTGTCCAGGTCAGGCAGTTAGTTATCAAACAGCAAAAAAAGAAAACGACTGCATAATGGGATAAATTGCGTACATAAAACGGAAGGAGTTAAGTTACTTTTCAAATAAAAAAAAAGCACATGGGCACATTTTCAAATCTGTGTTGTTGTTTTGTTTTATAGAATTTATTTCCCCCGTGCTAATTAATTGATGTTTCCTTGTTTCATTTCAGACTGGACTAGTTCTCTTACACCTCCATCAACGAACAACACCCCAACCACCGACACATTCAGTCATCACCATCACCAATTCTGTCACAGCCCCATTGAGGAACACTTTGATGTGGTTGATGGTATTAAACCACAACAGAATTCACATTTCTTTGGAAGGTCCCCGGACGGTAGCTCGGGCACCTCCGCCACACATTTTGGCCATCAGCAGTCACATTCATATGCAATGGAAACGGCTACTGCGACTTCACCACCAAAAGGCGGCATTGAGACACCAAGCGGTGCCCACTATTCCTACAACAATAATCTCCTTTATTGTGCATCGAGTAGCAATGCATCGACGGCAGCAGCAGTAGGAGCAATGCCATCAGCTGTAGCCAGAGGAGCTACATCAGCATCATATCACCACCACCACCACTATCCCACCATTAGCACCAGCACTACCACGAGCAACAACAGAAATGTTTTTGCGGCTGGCTTTACACCATCGCCAGCCTCATCGAATCTCTCCACACCCACCGAGGCCACCGAACATTATGGCATTGGAGGACACAACGATATTGATGCAGCTGCTGTTAATGAACTTTCGCAACGTTTGCAGTCGGAATTACGTGCGGCAAAAAGTCGTCATTTGTCATGCACTGAAGTCTCATTGCCATGGGATCTAACGCCACGTATAGCCGCTGATATGATAAAAACCTCCGAGAGGGAACCTTGCGGGGTGCGAGGTTGTGCTATTTTCATCGATTTTGAAGATGAGACAGGCAATGCCAGGTATGATGACGATGACGTTGATGATATGCAATTTTTGTTTGTTTTTGTTGTCATTTTGCCATGTGCATGTTACATATATTTGTTGTCGTTGATGTTGTTGTTGTTTTCGCCAGTGTCACATATCCATCCATTTGCCTTAGTCGCTGGTTTGGTTTGTCTTTAGTGGACAACAGCGGTTGGAAATGAGTTTTTGATGTTTTCTGACATTGGATTTCTCTTTTTTTTTGGATTGGAAAATCATGATGATGTTCAACGAGCTGTTATAATCAATTTGTTTTGAACTAACTAAGGATGCAACGTCGGATTATACTCAAGGTGTACGTTGGTTTTTTATTTAAGTGGACAGTAAACTCACACAGTTGAAGAAGTGATAAACTATTGATGTTACAGGGGATTATTAAAATAAAATTAATGGAAATACGTGAAAGAGGATATTGCTATGGGGATGGCGAGCAATTGCTGTTATGGTGGTAGCACCTGAGGACTTAGTACTACTATATTAAAACAGTTTTGTAGTTCATGTTTTTAAGTAGATAGAAAAGAGTTATGTGGAGGTGTGACCTATGCCTATCCGACAAACTTGAAGGATGAATTTTAAAGTAGATGCTCATACTCGTATTAGAATTGGTGAATAACTCTTCCGCTCATGTTAACGGTAGATCTAAGAAAATATTAGAGGGTACACCTGAAACTTGGGACAATATTAATAATTTTTGTCACGGATATGTGTTATTCAATGAGAACCCAAAATACCAAATAGAAAACTTGTTCCAAATCCCCAAAATTCCGAATATTGGGGGTAATGTTATATGGGGGGTTCATCAAAGCGTGTTCCGATATATGCCAATTGCAATACAAAACATCCTGGGGTACTGTTATATGGGGGCTTCATCAAAGCGTAGACCGATATATGCCAATTGCAATACAAAACATCCTAGGGGTACTAGCAATGTCTGTGCAAAATTTCAGAGCTCTTTCTCTTGATCTCTATTTTGATTTTAACAGACGGACATGCGTAAATTGAAATAAATATTTCGAGGTGTTGCAAAAGGAATGACAAATTTATTATACAGGGCATAAAAATATAGCATTTATTTCTCCGATGAGGAAGATATATAAACTTTGTAGCGATAAGAATGTGCCTCGTCAAAATATTGGTTTCGGACCCCAAGTTTCTTTGGTCCAAATATATTTTAGACAGCTTGCAAATGTCCGTCTATTTGGTTGCGCAAAACTCTCGATGCAAATGCCCGTCTATTTGGTGGAATGTGAGAAGGGAATAGAAAACCAGCTACAGAATCTACTCCAACAGCCAGTTTATTAATTAAGTTGCACTACTCATTTAAAAATACAACTAAATTAGATTTTATAAATTCAACATTCTTGCTAAAATCTACATTAGAGTACACAGAATTAAAATCAATACAAATTTTACTGAGTGGATCTCCCATGAGGATTAACCGATTTGATCCAAACTCGACACATAGTAATATTTCTTCCAATCTTTAATAATAATTTTTCATTTCTAATTTGGCATTTGGATTTTCAAAAGTCAATCAGTAAAATGGTGCCACTCGATTGGCTTTTTATTATTATAACGTATTATTTTCTTAATTATTTATCAAATATCATTTCGAATTGCAGGCGCATTGCATCTTTCAAAATTGATCCAAATACCGTATCAACATTTGAATTGTTTTTAACCTTGAAACAAGACAAGGGCGGCTGGACTTCATTATTACCACAATTTCTCAAGTAAGTATCATTCGGATTTCATTTTGATATTTTCCATGAACCTTAACTCTATTTTGGCTTTTTACAGAAATCTAACACGCAGCAGTACCATACTCATAAGTCCACATTTTACATTAAATAAACATAAGCTTTATGCCTGTGAGTAGGAATTTCTCTCTTTTTTATAAAAAAAAAAAAAAAAAAAAAAAAACAAAAACAAAATAAGATAAAAAGAAAAAATCCACCTAAAATGTACAAAAACGAACAAAAAATCATAAATATTATTAAAACAAAGAAGTTACATATAACTATATTATTATGAAGAAACAATAATATGAAAAAAAGAATGAAAGAGCAAATGAAAACAAAAAAAAAGAAAATCGAACAAACAAAGATGTAAAACCAAAACATATTAAATGTATGAAATGTGATTTCAAAACAGTAAAAAAAAAAAACAAAACCAACAAATTAAATTGGGGCATGTCAATTGTGTTAGTTAGAATAGCATAAGTAATGAAATGATCAAACAAAAATAGTAATTCCCTCCGATTAAGAGAATTAAAATAATGGTTAGTTTCCTTTTTTTTAATTATTTTCATTTTCAATTAGTTTTTATAATTTCCACTAAAATATGAGTATTATATATGACAAAGTCAATGAAACAAGAGGCAACAATCTCACAACTTGGTAATGAGTTTCGCATAGTACATACCCCCTTCACTAGAAAATAAAAGAAAAAAACAAAAACTTTTTTGGGGAACAGAAATAAACAACAACATACTTTCATACATGTACTCTCTCTCCCTATCTTATTACTTGTTGTGTATATTCTAGATATAAATAATTTTATACAAACATAATTATATATAAAAATGCTATGCAATACAAAACAAACTTTGGACCACATACATTTCAACATTTTTCCCTTTTTAAATGAATGAATAAAAACGAAAACAAAACCAACTAATATTATGACAAGCATAAATAACCAACAATATTACAAAACATATATGAAATAGCTAAAACATCAACTGGACAATTTTTACATTTCTAAACGTATAATCCTCCCCTGCTCTACATAAATATTTTACTTTAATTTGTATCACAAAAGAAAAGTAAAAAAAAAACAAAAATAACAAACTTTAGACAAAAAAAAACTGAACAAAACACCAAATTACTCAAAAAAAAAAAACCAAATTCAAATGAAATTGACTGACTCCATTGAAAAAAAAGAAAAATGATAAACTACAAATTGACAGCAAATTAAATTTATAATATTCACCTACCATGTAATTAAAAAAATAATGAACATGAAATAGAAATTCATAACAAACAACTAAAAATATCTAAACCAACATAAAGTTAGTTTTAATTTTTTTCATTCAAAATAAATATCATTATAAACGAATTTAATATCCACTTAAAGTTAAGAAAAACTGCAAAAAAGTAGTGAAAAATATTCCGAACAAGAATTAAAAAAATAAAAACTAAAATAAACAATAGCTTAACTTTTCGCTTTCAACTATTGGCACCCAAAGACAATATGCTCAAATAAATAAAATAAAAAATAATTATCAAAATATTATTGGAGTAACAATTTAATATTTGTATTTGAATAAATTGTGTGACATTGTACCATTTTCTGCCAATACAAATGTAATAATCTTATAGAATTCAGACAGATTTTACCACATATAGAGCATTTAAATATATTTTTGATCAGAGTAATATTCAATGTTCATTTATTAATATCATAGACATATAGTCCCTATAAAAAAATCCATGTTGATGTTTCGACATAGATGTACATAGTATATTAATCCTGAGACAATGAAGGAATCAATTAAAGGGTCAGGCCGTGGAGGAGAATATAAAAAGTCTACACAAACGAAATTAACAATAGTAATTGTGTTTGAAATGGATTTGATCTCTTTCGGTGATTCTGTTTCGTCGTATATATTATTCATTACAGTAAAATTATGTATCGATTTGTTTGATATTTGAAATTTAGGACATACTTCTATATACTTCTCAGCCTTACGGACAATTAGGGTAACTTTGATATGGTGAAAATGTGTCTCATCGAAATATTGGTTTTAGAACCGATGCTTTTTGGACCAACTCCGTTTCAGACAATTTCGAGTCGATTTACAAGTGCCCGTCCGTCTGGCCGGATGGTGCATACGATAACTCTCGAAGGGAGTAACTGATTTCATCCGAATTTTGCACATCTTAACATTTCTTCCAAAATTAGTTCCAGTTCTAGGATGGGGAATATCGTCCACTCCTTCTGGTATCTCCCCCACAAAATGATCAAAATTGTGCAAAAAATAATTCTATAATATCATGCGAACGGACTATCCGATTTGAACCATATTTTGTACAACCTATTATCTTAATTAAGTCCATTGGTCCACTCCTTCTGTTACCTCCCATACAAAATGGCCAACATTTACAGAATTTATAATCCCAATCTCAGTCGAATGGAATGTTTGATTTGAACTAAACCTTGCACAACCTATTATCTTAATCAAGCCTTGAAGAAGTCCATAGATGGGACACTATTTATGGTACTTCCCATACGAAGGATCATAATTTTCAATATTTATAAATCCAATATCAGGCCATGGAATGTCCGATTTGAAACAAACTGTGTACAATCTATTGTCTTACAAAGCCTTGATCAAGTAGGAAGATGGGACCTATTGGTCAACTCTTTCAGGTACCTCCCCCAAAGGGTTAAAATGTTCAATATTTATAAATCCCATATTAAGCCAAAGTAATGTCCGATTTGAACCAAGCATTGCACAAAGCCTAGATCAAGTTCTCCCCCAGAAAGGGTCAGTATTTTATAAACCTGTAAATTTTATTTAATTGAAGCAAATTAAATAACCGATTTGATCAACATTAAATCGGAAACCTCTTTCATAAAAACATACCTTATATAAATCGAATCATAAAACATGTGTGTAATTCCGAAGACCTCCGCAAACCATAGGCTGAGGGTATATATTTGTCGGCAATACCGACTGACACTTTTTTACTCGTATGTATTAAAAATGGGATATGTTGGTAAAGGTCCCGTTCTATTTTCAACATTTTGAAGGTTGTTGGCAATTTTTTCTAAATGAAGTGGCTGTAATTTGACATTCCGAATTCTAAAGAGGGTAATTAAATTATTTTCAAAATGTTTTCAATATATGTCAATGTGTTGACACATCCTTTCGATAATCCGTGTTCTTTGAAGGTCATAACCCATTCATTTCAACCGAACAACATCTAAGATTCGGCTTCCTCCTTTTCATCGTATCCATACCGTCCATATAACACAATCTAATTGCCTATAATGTCTATAGTGTATAATGTCTTCTCGGCGAAAGTAGCCTTTATATAACAGCTCTAGCCGGATTTCAGAACTCTGAAGGCACCAGCTATTATTTAGTATGTAAAATGGCTGTAATTTTTCGTCTAGAGTTTTATTGGGTAAAAATGATTCAATACTAGTTAACTTTTATGGTATATTCTCATATATACCAGGACCGATTTCAGAGAGCAGCCCAATCGAACAGTTTTTTCTATTTCCAATTTGGAATTCAGTTTCCAAACATTTTTGTCCTAAATATTGAAAGATAATAATAATTTGTTCTTATGTTACAACTTATTAGGATTCTAGTTTCTCTTTCCAAAATGAAAAATTATATTTCATATTACAGAAAATGGTGTATGTCATACAATTAATAACAACATTAATATTATTATTTTGAAAAAACGTATGATTCACATAAGAAATCCAACTCAAAACAATAGCAATATTTGACAACTAAATATTAAACCCAATATAAAATACATATGTATAAAAAGAATAGAATTCAATACACATGACATTAATAACTTACTTGATCAACTGTAGTATTTTTTTAGTTTCAAACTTATTTTATACATAAACTTATTTATACACAAAAAAAATCATATTTTTTATTTTCCTTTTTTCTTTGCTTTTCATTTTGTAGTAGACGCAGACGAAGAAGAATGATTTTGATGATGAAAATGAAAAATGACAATGATGATGTTTTTTTGTGAAAATGTGGATAAAGGATCAGGATCCTGAAACAAATGAATGTCATGAAATCGCATTCAATTCAATTCATATGAAAACATGAAATAAATAGAAAACAAAAAACAAAACAAAAAACCCAAAAAAAAAAAACAACAAACTGAATATAAAACAAAGTGAAAGAAAAAACAAAGTTGATGTGATATTAAAATATAATAATAATTATTTAAGTAATTAGCAAATAAAATTAATTAATTAATTATAAATTACAAAAAATTAATATATTAAATGTTAAAACCAAAAAAAGAAAAGAAAATCACAGTAGATAATAATATTGTTTTTAAGTATTTATCAAATTTTTTGTTTAATTTTCTTATATATCTCTGTAATACCTTTAGATATTCCCTTAATTTTAAGTAGAATTTAAATTATGTGCGAATATTAAAAACCAAAAAAAAAAAATGTACGCGCAGAGAATTAGCAAATATTTTTTGTATGTGTTCTTTATTAAATCTTATAATTTAATTTTAATTTAATATTTTTCTTCTTCTATTTTTTTAAATATAAACTGAAAATGAAATTTGAATTTCATCAAAAGGATATTTGTTTTATTTTGGTATTTTTAATTTATTATGCTGTTAAAATTCAACTTACACTTGATTTAGAAAGTTTTTCCTCATATTTCTTGGAATTTGTTTCAACTAATTACAGGTGTAATAATTTGAGTGTGCGAGCGCTGGTATATGTAAATAAATGATGTATATTATAGATATAATGTAAATCATCAAAAATTATTTAAGCAAATTAATTTTTCAAATGGTTGTACATCAAACGCGGTACGTTTATCCCAAAAATATCTAATTTTCCATTTGAATGTAACATATTTAGTTTTGGCCTTATTAGGCTTTATTGTTACATAATGAAATAATAAATAAATAAATAAATAAAAATGTCAGATGACTTCATTGGTCTCTTCTAATATTTAAAATCTCAAAATATGTAAAATCTACACGATTGTTGCTATGGGGCTTTCAGCATACTCACAACTTCCATTTTATTTAAGAACACAATTTTTTTAATTAATGTTTATTTATTTTTTAATATATACATACTTTTTTTTTTTTTTTTGTTTGACCTGCAAAAACTTAATGTCTTATTTAAAAAAGCTAACATGGAAATACTAGTCAAAAAAATGCTAAGCAAAAACAAACGAATTAATTAAATATAGACATAATAAAAAAGAGAAAAATATTCTAAGCTAAAAATGATTACAAATAACTCTTATAAATAAATAAATGGGATAAAAAGTCATCTGTGTTATAATTATAATAATAATAAAAAGATAATTACAAAAATAAAAACCTGCATTAAAATTATGAAAATAAATATAAAACAAAATTAGTTTTAAGTAGTCTACATAAAATCATTTAGTTTAGAATTAATCTCTTTCTCTATATAAATAGGCAACATACAGAGAAAACTAAAAATTCAAATAAAACAAAGAAAAGAAAAACTCAATTCAACAATCAAAATGAAATTAATTATAATAAAAATAAATAAGAACTACAATGCAATATAAAAAAAAACACTTCACATACTTCTTGTGTATATTGTTTGTAAAATAAATCAAATTGTTAAAACGAAAGAAACATTCTAGTTATGTTATCAAAACGTTAATATATTTTTATTAAATTATATAATTTACAATTATTTATTTAGATATTTTTACACATTTCTAATTAAAAAAACTTAATTATTTTATTTTTATATAAAATTTTATTATATTCAATTATATTTTTGAAAATTTTTATTACATTTATAGTTCCCGAACTGATATGTTTACTAAGTTCTAGGGATGTTAAGTCGGGGCCGAAGTGAAGTTTTGGAGCTATTCTGTCGCCTATGTAAAACCTATCGTTCAGTCATAGTGTCTTTAGTGCACGGACTAAATTAAAAACAAGTAACAAAGGCGTTAAGTTTTGCCGGGCCGAACTTTGGATACCCTCCACCATAGGTTACATATAATTACTTGAAATTAAAATAAAAATATTAATTTTCGCAATTTTTAATTGAAACTTCCAAAACACAGCAATTTAGAGAGCAACGTTATATCAGGCCATCACCAACGCTTAGAGCTACGCTAATTGAGCAGCGATATATTTCAATTCCGAACCCAAAATTTTTGCATTACACTACCTTCCTTCATGTAAATATGGGGGCTAGGCCTATATGTGGACCTATACTTCATTCTTGAACCTGACGTTCTAATTTTTTATCTCGATATCCTCCGATGGTAAAATTATTACAAAAGATGGCTAAACGAGCAAAATCGTTTTAAAAATGCATACATTTGAGTACAGAATATCCCCTTACTGTGGTGGAGACAAACCTAAACCAAATCAGTTAACTATTGTAGTATAAAAAGGGGGCGAATATTAATAATTTATAGGCTACCATATACGTCTTCTAAATACCAAGTTATAACGAATTCGTTTATAAAACGCGCTCAAGAACCCAAAATACCGAAAATTGGGTGTACCCATAAAAGGGGGCTACCCGAAAAAATTGACCTATTTTTATAATTTTTAGTGGAGAGATTTGCTAACCAATAAGAACTCAAACTCCTAGACCCACCATTAAGTATACCGATCGTCATATATCGACTAGCTGAGTCGATCTAGACATGTGTATCCGTCAGTCTTTACATTATAATTTCGAAACACGATACAGGCCACAGTTATGGACCAATTGTAACGAAATTTTGTATGTAGGATGGGTTCTCGCCAAAGAAGACCACTATTGTTTTTGGGTAATGATCGATTAATATTTAGGGGATGAATTTGATCAAAAACTTTTTTCTATGTTTTTTGTTCTGGTAGCTCCAGAGACTTCAATTATGACCCGAACATCACGAAGTTTTACACGGAGAAAGGGATCTGAGCAAGGAACAAGCAGGGATCTTTTCCTGGTAAACAGTCAAGATTTAGCGGGTCAAATCAACCCATACCTTTGTGGAAAGTAGCAAAGTTGCAATCTATGGCATATATGTTTACCCCAGAAGGGCATAGATCGGCTAAGTTGACTATATATCCAAGAGGAGCGGTTTATCCACTTTTTCTGACATTATATCATTACAACATGAAAAGGATATCATTGTCTGTTTTTCTAGTCGCTCTAGACGCTACAATTATAAGCCGAAAATCAGAAATTTTCCATGGGGAAGAAAATCTGACCGACTAATTAGAAGGGCTGTTTGATCGGCCAATATTCAGCGGGTGAAATCATCTAAGACATTTCTGTGTAAAATTGAAAAATTATGGCGTCAATGTTAATCCTGGGAAAACAAAATTCGGAAAATATACCAGGGTAAGAAAGAATAGCTGTTGATCTCTAATCGGTCAAAACTGAGCAAATGTCGCGAAATATTGCCCAGGCACGGAATGTAGATCCGAAAAAAGTTAGAGTTCCGTTGTAGCTGTGTAGGGTATCATATGGTTAATTGAGAGGTACCATTATATGGGGGCTACCAGTAGAAGTCGACCTATATTTATAATTTTTAGTGGAGAAATTTGGTACCCAATAAGAACCGAATTCGATTGAAAAACGCCCCATACCATGGTGGTACTTTTTGTGCTAAAAAGTGTCATTCATTTTAACGGAAATGCCATTTGACGACATATAATATGTTGTAGCCGTATATCCAATAAAGCACAACTGCAGTCGTAAAATTTCTCTTTGGCTGAATTCTATATCTCAACAATAGATGTAACTGCATCTACAGGCACCGGAATATCCTCCCTGCATTTTCTGTTTTATTTTATCGGATTTTTAATAATTAATTATAATAAGTATTTTGACCATACTTTGAGTCCGATTCTAACATCGACAGTCTTGGTTCAATTTCATATTGCGAAAATAAAATATAATATTAAATTTATAAAAGTTAATTTGTTTCTGTTTCATGCCCTTCTATCAATGAATGCTACTTGCAAATATAAATAAAATTAGAACAATAAATGTGATCTATAATAATAATTAAATTTTTAAAATTTTTTTAGGTGTAAAAAATACAACAAATTAAACATTTGAACTTTAGATAATACTTAAAAACAACAACAAAAACACAATATATAATTCTCTCAGATTGGACATATTGCAGAATATAATTGTGATGTAGACAAAAAAACAAATATAGGTATTTTTAAAACAAATATACGATAAATATATATATAAACAAATTATATTTAAGACAACAAACATTTACAAAATCATCAATCACAGAATAATCTACACCAAATAACAACAACAAAAAACAATAACCAATGACAAAAACAACAACAACATATGGAACTACTAACTCAACACAATAGTAAGTGCGCTTTCTCTTTGTAAAATTATGTTGCATAAAAAAATAAAAAATTGATAATAAAAACAATATTTTCTCTTCAAAAGTCAAACAATAACAAATAACACAAATTAATGTATAAAAAATCAAACAAAAAATATTAAACATATATAGAAATTTTATTTTAATATATTCAGAAAAAATATATATTTGAAATCGCATACACGTCCAGTGGCTCCTCAAAGATTACTGTAAGCAAAAAATAATTGAAAATTAACAAAAAATCAATAAAACCAAATAATACCAAAAAAATTAGACAAATTACAAAATAGATGACAAAAAATATCCAGCAATTGTCAAACAAATATATTTCTTTATTACAATCAACAGCTTCAACAACAAACAATAGCAACAATAAAAAAATATTTATGTATGTCATATGCAACAATAGCAATAATTATAAACAATTAATACAACAAATAAACAAAAATATATAGTTTTTTAAACAATAATTGTTACTAATAAAACTTTGGCTGAAAAATTCGCGGCGTGATCTGTTATAATTCTTCAAAGTTAACCTCAATCTGAATCGCTGGGAATGAACTTCTGGAGAAAGGAGTGCGTCAACCGATCAGCATCTGTGCAAGTCATATAACGGATTTTCAGCCTATGGTTTTTTCTACCAACCAACACACACAAACAAAAGCAGCTAACCATTA